ATCAACAGATCAGAAACCTACCTGGAAAGAATTTGCTGCTTTGTTTGATTCTCCTGCTGAAAGATAACTCCAAACCCTCACTACTCTGCTGTCTGGAAGCTTCATTTCCTACCTAAGCTTATTCCTGCCCAGTTTTGGCCTGTTTGAGCTTGTGTAACAACATATCTCATAGCCCTGAGGGGTGAAAACAAATACCTCTTGCTTCCTGTGGTTGAGGTTTACTGAGATGACAGTTGACAAGCCCTAACATAAAGGGATTTAAAGGATGCTGTGGAAAAAATCCTTTTCTCCCAAGTGTTGGGTAATGGGGGAATAAGGAACAGTTATTAAATTTCTCTGGCTTGCAAACAGGGCTCTTGTTTGAGAGAAGAGCTTGTTCTAAGCCAGCACAAATCTGGTGCTCTCCATTGCTTTCTTCCCTGGTTTCTGCTCTCTGTTTTAGGTTATTGCTGCTCAACCAGTTCCACGATGTCCTGCCAGGCAGCTGTATCCAGCTGGTGGTTGAGGACGCCCTGCAATACTACACAGGTGAGCAGGGAGTTTGGCTAGCAGGGCCCTCACCTGTGGGAGCAGGTCCTGCCTGGTGGGGCTGCAGAGGTTCCAACCCTGGGCTGCCAGGGCCAGCCTCAGCAGGCATGGCTGAAATAGTGTTAAATTAGCAGGGGAGCCAAGGGATTGAGAACCATCCCAATTTATTGACTTTCCTGCTTGCTGCTGGCATGCCAGGATAGACTCCCACCAAGGTTTGTTTCTGCCTGCCCAGGGGTGTTTGCAGGAGCTTTGTTAACCAGAATTTTCCAGTTGAGCTGGCACAGCTCATTGTAATTTCATAATAACAAAGTTCAGAATAATTATACACTTCAATTGCTTACTAATAGATAATAATAATTAATGATAATTAGCAATTGTTAGCTTGGAAGGAGATAAAGTGTGTGTACATTGCACGGGGAGTGCCAGAAGCTCTCTCAGATCCAACTCAGGCCCTTTTATTGCCCAGAGATCCGCAGGGCTGGTGCTCAGCTGCAGGAGGAAGCTGTGCAATCCCTGTGCAAGGATCTGCTGCAGCCCGAGGGATGGAGCACCCAGAGCACCCTCGTGTTGAACACGTTGTCCTGGGAACGCACCGAGGTGATCTCCAGGCCTGGGCCAGACGGAGCAGAGACTTTGGGTAGGTCTGACCTGGGAGTAGCTCTTGTGTCAGAGTTCCTTACAGGGGCAGAGATAGCTAACAGAAAAATGCTCTGCCTCTCCCTGCCCAGGGGAGGGTTTTATTGACTGTTCAATTTGTTCTTTGGACAACTTGAAGGGGGATAAAGTCCCCTGAAGCATGCATGAAGAAGAGGAGGGTGTGGGAGGAGGTGGTAGATCTGACATGAGAGCAGCAGGGCAGCAGTCGTGTGACTTAGGGTTCAGTCTGGGGCAGGTGTTAGAACAGAACCTCTTTGTTTTCCAGCTCTGGTGACAGTCCCCAGCATGGGCTACGCTCTAGTGCAGGAGCCATTTGTGCCTCCCCAGCTTGTGACAGTGTGGGAACAGGTAAGCACAAGGCAGATTTCCTCAGGTCTGTGTTCCCCGTGTCACAGGTTGGTTGAGGAGAAATCTAAGGAGTCCACATATTAAATTTGCAAGGGAGGCACTCAGCTCCTGCAGGTGTGGGTCTGTGACACCTGTTTCTTGCCTTTTCCCAAGGAGGATGGCTCCATTAACATGGAGAATGGGGTAATTGCTGTCTGCCTGGACACCATGGGGCACGTGACCTCTCTTCAGCTGCTGGGCTCCGGGAGGTCTGTGTCACCCAGTTCCTGCTCCTGAGCTCCTCAAACCTCTCCCAGGACTTCTCACTGTGCACCTCTCTCCACTGCCAGTCCTTCTGATGCTGCTGTTCCCCTGTACCACTTTCTTTCAGAGAGTCAATCCCAGATGGCTGCTATGCCAATCAGTTTGCACTCTTTGATGATGTTCCCCTCTACTGGGATGCCTGGGATGTGATGGATTATCACTTGGAAACCAGGTAGAGGAGCAGTGCATGCAGCACTTGGATTTTGGCTTTGCCCCGAGATTCTTGCCTCCCTGTCAGTCCTAGCTGTAAGAGACCATTCACTGGGATTTGGGAACCTGGATCTACCAGGCTGAGACTATCTCTGCCGTCATTCCTTTCTCTAGGAAGCCAGTGACAACGGTGCTGAAGCCTCTGAAAGTCACCCTGGGTGGGGGCCTGCGGGGAAGTGTGAGGTTCTCGCTGCAGGTTGGGAAAAGCAGCACCTTAACCCAGGAGATCATCCTGGATGCCATGTGCCCGTACCTGCGCTTCCAGACCCAGGTTTGGCCCGTGGCTGCTGTGTGATAATAACATCCTGTGCAGCTAGGAGCCAGGGAGCTGAACCTTGTGCCTGAATTATATCCCCCCTCCCTGTTTTCTTCCCTGGAGTCCCCTGCTCCCTGTCCTCTGCATAAAGCAGACCCCAAGGCTGGGGGTCCCGAGGGACAAGGGTGGAAGAGGGTTTATCCGTGTTGAGACTCTGGTGTGTTTTTGTCGTAGCTGGCATGGACTGGCTGCTGCACACCAGGACACAAGAAGTGCAGTCTCTGCCTGTCAGTCCCCCATGGTGACATCCTTCTGCTGCCACATTTAGGTTGAGTGGAAGGAGGCTCACAAATTCCTGAAGGTGGAGTTCCCTGTGCAGGTCCGCAGCACAAGCGCTACCTACGAGATCCAGTTCGGACACCTGCAGCGGCCAACGCACTGGAACACGTCCTGGGACTGGGCTCGCTTCGAGGTGAGGAGGGAGCTGCTCTGCTCCTGGGCCCAGCTGCTCTGTTCTGGGCATTAGTTCCGTGTGGTGAACACATCCCTTGCTACCTGCTGCAGGTGTGGGCTCACAAGTGGCTGGATCTCTCTGAGCATGGCTTTGGGGTAGCTCTGCTGAATGACTGCAAATACGGAGCATCAGCCCACAGGAACATCCTCAGCCTCTCCCTGTGAGTTAGGGATGGGTGAGGGGGGAGCTGCTGTGGGTACTCTGCCTTCTGAGCAGACTTTTGGAAGTCAAGGCAACACCTGCTCCTAAAAAACCTTAGTTATAACAAGGAAATAGTCTGGTGGGTGACTGTTTTCTGAGAATTTGGCTGATTTACATTATCTTAGTCAGTTAGAACTAATTCCTGTGAACTGTGCTCAAAGATAACTCGGGAGAGATCAGATTCATGTTTGTAGCAGGTAGCTTTTCTGTTGCTAACCAAAACCTACCCCAGGAAGGGAGGTTTAAGGGAGGAAAGGAGCGGGAGTTCTGATGTTACAAGTGCATACAAAGCTAAAAGAAGCTGCCTGTTTTGAGTTTGACTCCGTCAGTCACAATTTTCACAGGATGACACCCCAGGTTTTTAGCTTCTGGGACTGTCCAGGACCTGTTTGCTGCTGTGTGTTTGCTTCCACTTCAGGGCCCAGCCTCGAGGTAGCAAGGAAAGCTGTTGTCTTGTCACAATGCTCTGGCTCTGCTCTGGGTGACAGTGGGTGCTGCCAAGGCACTGGTCTCACTAATCTCATGTTGCCTTAGACTGAGAGCACCCAAGTCCCCTGATTCCACGGCAGACATGGGGCTCCACCAGTTCACCTATGCTGTGATGCCTCACCAGGGTGAGTGACAGGCAGATCTGGGCCCCACGGGTCCAGCAGGGCGGGAGATGCTCCAGTGAGACTTGGGCTGAGCATGTGCATGTACAGAGGCTGACGAGACAGAGGTTTTTGTGCTGCAGGTTCCTTCCAGGAGGCCGGTGTGATTCAGCAAGCCTACAACTTGAATTTCCCCCTCCACGTGGTCCCAGCCAGCTGTGCCCAGTGCCCAGGCTGGAGTGCCTTTTCTGTCAGCTCACCTGCCATCGTGCTGGAGACTGTCAAACAGGCAGGTCCTGGGTGGAGGAGGGGAGGCAGAGGGGCTATGGTGCTGTTACTGAGCAGGGCTTGCTCTTTCAGCCACACTGAGTGGTAGTCAGGCTCAGCTGAGCACAGCAACTTGTGTTGGGGAGGCTGTGCCTGGTTCATCTGTCTGAACTCCCCCAAAGGCTGAGGACAGACCTGAGGCTGTGGTGGTTCGGCTCTACGAGGCCCATGGCAGCACAGTCACCGCCTGGCTCCAGACCTCCCTCCCCATTAAGGAGGCCATGCTGTGAGTCCATGCCAGAGGGCTGGGGGCTGTGTGGGCGTGGAGATCAGTCTCTTCAGCCTTGTGCTTTGTTCCCCAGCTGTGACCTCCTGGAACGGCCACTTGAGGGGGGCCACCTGCCACTGGAGAAACAGGGCCTGAGGCTTTCCTTCACACCCTTCCGTGTGCTCTCCATCCTCCTGCTCCAGAGCTGCTGACACCAGACATCATCCCTTGCTGGTGCTGCAGCCACCTGGACCAACACTGAGCTCAAATCACACTGAGCTGTTCTCAATGCCAAGAGTTGTGCAAGGCAGCAGTTCCAGGGAAGGGCAGTGTCCCCATGTCGGAGAGCAACACTCGAACCCCACTCCTCAGGGAAGGAGGACAGCTGCCCACTGCCCAACCAGGGTAGGGGGTCTTGAGTGAGTTCTGAGCTCATCTAAGTGTGGACAAAGGTGCAGACAGGCTGGTGGCCCTGCATAGGCTCTGCTCCAGCCGTAGAGGTTTGGGGAGCAGCAGCTTCCACAGTGACTCCTGGTATCACAGCCTTCATCTTGTCTAGCAGTGAGTGTAAAAACTCACTCCTCTCCTTCCCTTCTCTCCCTCTCTGCCCCTTCACTGCCCTTGCAGAAGAGGGAAAACAAAAAAGAGAATTTGATAAAATTAACTTGTAGTTGCTTCATTGTAGTTGCTCTTTTAATGTCTGCATGAGCAGGATCTCACTCCTGGCACTGGGGAGGCTGAACTCACCTTTCTTTTGGGGGGATGAGGTGGAGGGGAAGTCTGTTCCAGCCCCTGTGGGGAAGAGGCTGGGCACAGAGGGTTTTATTTTTCACATGAAAAGGCAATGCACGGTGATTTCTGCACAAAATACTTTATTAGCTAAAAACAGTGACTGGATCAGCAGCCAGAAAGGGAAGAAGCAGAGAGAAGGGTCAGAGTCCAGCACAACATGTGCTTCTGGCCCTTTTTCTCCCCAAATGCCTGTGGACAGCAGGAAAAAGCCCCATCACCACGCTCAGCTTCTCTCTCCCGCACTGGGAGAACGCAACAGTAGCCAAGAAGTGTGAGCACAGGTACAGAGCAGCTCCACTTCCACTAACACTAGCCCTGGTCTGTGGCCAGGCCCTGCCTGAGCTCCTCTTGGCCCCTTACTTGCCCCTCAGGAGGTGGCAGCAGGTAACACTCACACAGCAGGGGCTGCACCTGGAAAAAGAACAGGGAAATGATGAGTCAGAGGGCAATGGGGTGTCTGGCCCTGCCCCATGGGCTCCTCTACTGCCTTTTGGCACCCCTCAGTCCCCTTGCCACAAGGGAGCTCTCCCACAGCCCCCACGTGTGCACCAAAGCCACAGGGACTGCCAGCCTCACCTTCACCCCTGCGAGCAGATATCCGGCGGCTTCTTCTGACACCCAGAGGCACCTCAGGCAAGGCTGAAGCAGCAGTTGCTTTCCTCCTTCCACGTCCTTTCCTTGGCCCATCGGCCTCCTCTTCCTTCTCTTCCTCCTTTAACTCTGACTTTGGGGTTTTCACTGCTGTCCTGTGGCGCTGTTTCGAAGCACGTGGGGTGACCTGGGTGGTCGAGAGGGGAAACTCCGTGTAGGATCATCACCATGAACTCACGAGCAGCCTAAACAAGGCAGAGGCAAAGGACAGCCAGACACAGACACAGAGCTGCTCACCGTGGGGCTGGGTGCCTCGGGTTCTACCTTCAGCTGAGGGCTCTCCTTGCGGGACACCTTGCGGGGTTTCTGCCCTGTGTGAGAGGATGTGCCCAGGTGAGGTGGGGTGAGCAGAGCATGAGGCAGAGCCTGCACCCCCAAGAGACCAGCCATGGCACAGTGAACTCGCAGGGATACTGTTCTGAGTGAGGAAGTACAGGATGAAAAACCATCCAGCAGCTGCACCCAGGTTTGGATGCTGGTAGGAAGGCTTGGGGACAAATGGCTTCTGTCCCTTGGTGCCAAAGACTGTCACAGGCCTGTCAGCAGCCCAGAGAGAATGGCTTTGCTCCTACCTGTGCCCTTGTGTTGCACAGCAAGAACAGGGTTCCCCAGGCTCCAGCCCTCCCCAAGAGCAAGAATGGGTCCCACAGGAAGGGGAGAGGAAACTCACCTTTGGGAGCCATGGGGCCAGGCTCTCCCTGTAAGGAAGGGACAGAGCATTGACTGGGTGCAGTCATCCTGCAGGCAGCAGCAGAATCCCTGCACCTTCTCCATCCTGCAGCCATTGCAGTGATAGGGAAACAGCCACATTTCCCTGGGAAGGCAGGGGAGTTGGGCTTGCTCTGTTTGCCCTGTGCCTTGGGGATTCTGCCATCAATCCCTGTACATGCAAGGCCCCAAATACAGGGCCCAGAAGAGAAGGGCTGCCAGACCACCCAAAGCCCCCCATTCCCTCCATCTGCTCCAGATTGCTCACCATCCATTAGCTGGCTCCCCACCACACAGGAGGTCCTTGATGGAGAGGGAGACCCTCAGCCATACAGTGTAATGGGAGCAAGCAGAGAACAGGCTGGTGTCCCCTTGGAGGAGTGGTTAGGGGATCCCCAGTTCCAGGCAGCAGCCCCAGGCTCCTACCTGGAACCATATGGTCCTGCCATTGCGGTCACGCAGGGAGCTCATGCCAGGCACCAAGTAACACTGCAGCCAGTTCTTGAAGGCAGCATAATTATCCGAGTGCTCAGGGTCCAAGAGCTCTGGGAGAGGAGACAGGGAAAGGGCAGAATCAGAGCAGAAGCTGTGATCACCGTGTCAGGTGTCTCCCCAAACCTGGTGCTGAGAGTGCAAATCCCCAGCGTCCCTGCTGCCTGTCTTGTCCCCTCACCTGCCGTGATGACCTCTGTGGGAACGGTGTGGCACAGCTCCAGGAGATCTGGGTTCTCTTGCCTCAGCTTCACCTTCTTGCTCAGTGTCAGGGAAGGATCCTGCAGGCATGGAGAAGGGCAGAGAAGTCACCTGCCAGCTCCTCTGTTTCCTCAGCTTCTCCCATCTTCTTCCCCATCTCCTGCCCTCCAGAGGATAAGGTGCCACACTCTCCACACACATGACAGCCCTGACCTCACCACACAGCAGGCTTCCAGCTTAGCCACAAAGACATGAAAGAGGGCTAACATACAAAAACACCACCAGCAGGTCGTTTCGTTTGTTTTCAGGCTTAAAATAGCCACTTCCTCTCCCCTGAGGCCACAAGGTCAACCTTGGGCCTTACTGCAGCCTTCCCTTTGGAGATTTTAAGCTTGCAAGGTGTTTGTTTCTCTCACCTCTTCCTCTTCACCCACCCCAAAATTACTTCTAGGCCTCCTTAGGGCAGAAGACTGGCAGAGCTCATCATGAAGGGCCACAGCAACCAAACCCCTGCTTCTGGCATCTGTCTGGAAACATGCTGCTTTCTGAGCCTGTGAAAACACCTGGTATTCCCCACCTTCTTACTCTTCTCCTGCTCCTGCAGGGCCTCCAGCACAGTCCGAGCTTTTTCAAAGGGAGGGATCTTCAACCTGAGAGGGTTACACACAAGCCTGAAGCCTCGCTTCTGGCACTTCGAGTATCTACCAGGTGAGGAGGCAAAGCCACCTTAGCCACGCTCCAGCAAACTCTTAGACTAAACCTCCGTGGCAGGTAAGCGGGTGCTCAACCCACCTTACCTGTACAGGATTTCAGCACGCAGGTAATTCCCAATTCCATTGAAATACTTCTGGTTTAAGAGGACCTCACAGATGGGCTTGTCAAAAGCCCTGTCATCCAGGTTCTTCAGCACATTCTCCCTGCAAGACAGCACGGGCCATCAAGAAGAGTCACCTGGACATGTCCGTGCAGGAAAAGCGGCCAAACCCAAGCAGGGGGCATTCCTCACCTGAAAGCCTGGTACTCGGAGATGACGCAGGGCCCTCGTTCCGGCTGCCAGGCATCCCCCAGGCGCCACGACCCGAAGCGCCGGGGGTCCACGAAGCAGAGGGCGCGCGGGGGGCTCTCCCGGGTGAGGAAGCGCAGGTGGGCATGGCGGGGCAGCTCGGCGGCGGGGCACAGCCGGAACGACCCCGACATGCCGAAGCGGAATACGAGGTCCTGCGGAGGGGGGCCGACGGCGGCGTCCAGCGCGCTCAACGTCAGCCGCAGCTCCTTGCCCCGGGCAATGGCCGAGATGCTGTAGGCCTCGCTGCGGAAGGGCACCTCCGGGCCGCGGCCCACCGGCGAGCGCTCCACGCCGCCCGCGAACACCAGCGCTCCGCACGCCGTGTTGATGAAGCGCCCGGCCAGGTGCAGCTCCGGGCACTCGGGCATGGTCGCGACCGCACAGCGCAGCCCGAGCCCGCCGCCACCGCCGCTAGGCACGGCCCGTCCCCATTGGCTGCGCCGCTAGGCACGGCCCGCCCCCATTGGCTGCGCCGCCAGGCATGGCCCGCCCCCATTGGCTGCACCGCCAGGCACGGCCCGCTCCCATTGGCTGCGCTGTGATACCGGAAGTTGGTGCCCTGCCGAGGCGGTCCCGCCGCGGAGAGATGTTGCACAACGCGGGGACACAGCGGGACACGGCTCAGCTTTGTCACCGGGACTTTATTGGAACTGCCCTGAGGATCCCCGAGAACCCGGAGGGAAGGGAAATGTCCTCCTCCCAGCTAGGAGCACCAATCCGGACCCCCAACCCAGTGTCGCAGCCTCCCGCCGTGGCCCTTTTCTGTCTCCTCAGAGAAGGGTGTTCATCAGGGTCTGGGCCTGCTTCAGCTCTGCAGAGAGAGGACGGAGATGTGGGGGAGCTGCTGGTATTGCAGCATCCCCTTCCCAGCGTGCCTCCCACAGCATCTCCCCCTGCAGAATCCCCCACGAAGGTCCCTGCTGCCACCCCTCTCCTGGCATCTCACCTGCCAGCAGCACCCAGAACTTGTTGGCCGAGAGCGTCACAGGGACAGCCGTCATCTTGTCACTCTCTCTGTCCCGCACGTTGAAGGTCAGGTGCACCACGGGCTCATTGACCTCCTGCAGCTCGCTGGAGCTGAGGGTGTAATCCACCCGCCAGCGCACTGAGCCCAGCTGGCTCACTAGGGTGGGCAGTGGGATGGGATCAGCACCCCGGCTCACTCCAGCACGGTAACTGACCCCCACACCCCTATTAAGACCCAACACTCCACTCACATCGCAGGCTGCAGGCCCTGAGCCTGTCCTGGAGAGGGCTCTGCTTCTCCTCATAGGAACGGCACAACCCGCTGGCATGCTCTGCTCGTGAGGGGAGACCAGAGAAGAAACGCTCTGCTCACACCAGACCTGCAGCTGCCAAACCCCACCAAAGCACCTGAGGAGCCCCCAGGGACTGATGGCACAGAAGGGAGGTGATGGAGGACAGCACAGCAGCCAGCCTGCCCTCCAGCTGGGTGTGAACTGTCAGCAACATCCAACCACGTCTGGCTCACGGTGCCACCCTGAGAGTTTCTCTTACCTTTGGGCAGTCCCAGCTGCTGCAGCTCACTTGACAGAGACTCGCTGTCTACATTGTGCTTGGCTGCACTGGAGAGGATGAAGCCGAGGACAGCGATGGTCGCCTTCACATCCCCTGACTCTGCAGATGGGAGGGAGGGTGAGCTCTGTCGCCTTGGGAAGGTACTCCCAGGTGCACTGCTGCCATCCCTGGAGCATCCCTGGCTCCACTGGGGAATAGGGATAAGGACAGCAGTGCTCACCTAACTTTGCATCTGAGGTCAGCTTCAGGATCTTGTCATACTGTGGGAGAACAAAGCATCACGGTAAACACCAGCTAACACACTCAGTACTACTGTAAACGCTAACAATTCTTACCTAAATATTAGTATCACTTACTATGCATATTGTTATTACTAGTAGAGGCCGGTAGCGTTCTTAACGCTGAGGCTTGCATAAAGAACACGAGATTAATTAATGATGCTGATTATGCCATTGTAGTGCTGACACACTTGACCCCCACTGCGGTAGCCCCACACTTACCTCGATGGCCTCCCCCAGCAGGTCCCGCAGCACCTGGGCGCAGATCAGCTTCAGCTTCACCGAGGACTGCGGGGGAGAAGGAGGGTGAGCAGCGGGCCCGGAGCAGGCGGGGGGCGGGCAGGGGGACGAGGGGGGCGCGGGCACTTAACTATTTTGGCCAGGGTGCTGATCTCGGCCAGCACCCAGTCGGGGCAGTCCAAGTCTCCGCAGAAGCGGAACCGCTGCGGGGGAAGAGGCGGTCAGAGCCCGCAGCGGGCTCTGCACGCCCTCCCCGCTCCCCGCCGACCCCTCTCCCCACCATGTCGCCGCCGCTCCCTGATCGGCGCTGCTACCGCAGAGTCCGGAACGACCCGGAACCACTGGTGGAACCACAGCCGGGCGGGCTGCCGGCTACGCCCCACCCCCTGCCCCGAGTGCCGGTGGGGCGCTCCGGTAGCTGCTCTGCGGGGCCGTTTAGCCGGGACGCGGACAGGAGAGAAGGCCGGAGAAGGGGACGGGGGTCTCTGGAGCGGGACCACGGACCCCTCCCGCAGCCCTGGCTCCGCCGGACTGAGCCCTCACGTTCCCTCCCAGCGCCACGCCCGCCAATCCCGGCTCGCCTTTCTCCACATTGTCCAATCACACCCGTCCTTTCCATGTGGGCGTGGTCCCTTCATGCTCAGCCCGCGCAGGCGCGGCCGGACCCCTCAGCCCGGCCCTGAGGGGAGGGGAGCGCCGCCTCAGCCCGGCCTTGAGGGGAGCGGAGCGCCGCCTCAGCCCGGCCCCTCAGCCCGGAATGCAGCCTATACATGTTCTCATTTGTTATCCCCGCTTCATATTGAAATTAGTTGCACGCCTCTTTACGACTGCGCCTTGTTCCTTTGAGGTTGCTCTGGTGGTCTTATGCGGGTCTTTATTTACTTCATCCTAGTCTTCCTCGTGGTTTGAACTTTTCACCTTGCCTCCTTGCACATGCTCTCTTTTTACTCCTTTGGTCATTTTCCGGACTTTGATACCAGTTTTCCTGGTTCAGGGGTCTGAAGAATCCCCCTTATCGTGTGGTGTCTTTGTCCTTGCATCCTGTTTGCACACTCTGGCCCTTGACCCCACCTTGTGTAGCCTTGCTCTCCTCCTGTTCGTGTAAGTACCGTAAATTATAGCAAACAATACATTTTTGTCAGTCCCCGTCTTAGTCAAAGCAGGTGTTGATACTTGATTCTTAATTCTCAATTTCTCTAGTTCACAGGGGGAAGAAGAGGCAGAGCTGACAGTGAAATAAAGTTTTGTAAGAGCAGAGCTGGAAGCACTGGACAGCTAGGAGTTCATTGAGTCGTTTATAAAGACATGACGCTGAAATTCTGAGTGTGGAGCTGAAATAAAACGCCTGGGCTTGCCTGAAATAGAGACACCGGGCCTGGAGGTAAAGTAAAAATTGTGGCTGGGGAGAAGCAAAATACAGGTGCTAGCACTGAGGCTGGAATGGGGACTGCAGAGTCAGAGGCAAAGCAGCACAGAGCTCGATTTGAAATAAAGACAGGCACTCAGCATGCACAGCAGGAGCTGCACTCAGTGGCATAGGGCTGAAGCTGAGAAAGCCTGCTGGGGCTAGAACAAACACTGCAGCGCAGGATCTGAAACAAAATCCACTGTGCTGGAAGGGGGAAAGTACTGTGGAGCTGGAAGAGTGACTGGCATACACGTTCTGGCTTTTTTAACTCCCTGGCACTGAGGTTGTTATCCCAGAGCTGGAGAGGACCAAGCCCAGCTTGCTGGCACCAGTTAGAGCAGCAGCACATGGCTGCAGTGGGACTGGGAGCCCAGGGCAAGGCTGCCCACAGAGGGAAGAGGGTTCAATACCACCACCAGAGCAGACACACATCCTTCACAACTGGGGTTCACGGTCTACAAATGGTTTATTTAAGATACAAAATTATTCCTTTACACACCTGAGTCTGCATTCTGCTCAGGGAGCACATGGCAGCTGCTGCTACATGATCAGGGAGAGCTTCTCAGCATCTCCTTCCCACCTACAGCCCATCTCCAAGCTCCCCCCCGTTGCTGCTGCTTCTCTCCTCAGGTAGAAGTGCTTTGCCACTCGAAGTGACCATCGTCAGAGTCCTGCAGGGGAGAGGGAAGTCACTTGAAACACCTCCAGTGAAGGAATGAGGATCACTTCTTATCCAACCCCAGAGATCATCACCAGGTAACAGAAGAACCTGTGACCTGCAGAAACACCAGCTCCCAGGCACAGAAAATAAACCAAGGGATGCAAAGGCCACTCACCTCTGTCCAGACTCCCTGGTTATCCATTTCCAACGTCTGGATCCCCACTTCAGGATCTCTTCTGTTCCAAAGGGCTCTTCCACCCTGCCAGCCCAGCTTCTTGGTCCCCAGGCACTGGGAAGGAAAGCACAGCCACTGCAGCCCTGCCTGGCCCCACAGAGTTCCCTCAGCCCACCCCACACAAGGCCCAGGCTGCTGGTCCAGCCCAGCAGACAGAACTCGCCCTTACCACGAGCACGATGGGTGCAGTGATGATGCAGAGGCCACCTATGACCATGATGGCAACTCCATAGGCTGGGAAGCTTGGCCGGTACAAGGGAGGGTCCAGGGTGTCCTCTGGAGCAGAGCACAGCATTTAGAGCCTGGAGCAGCCAGCTCTGCCCCATGGGGTGCCAGCCACCCACTCTGCTCCAGGACAAATATATGGGATATAATAACACATTCCACACCCTTGTGCCTTTTCCTCCCATCCTACACCAGCCTGCAGCAGAAGGTCTCCAACCCCAAGCTCCCAGGCTATTCAGAGAGTAAAATGTTAATAACAGTTGTGCCCTTGTCTTGGCTGGTGAGGTGACCAGAAGGAATCTCACCCTCTCTTCACACAAGGGATCAGGATCTGGTCAGCTGTGGATCCACTCTGCTCACAGTAGGGCTCATGTACCCACATACCAGAGGGGAGCTTACCTCCCACAGCCAGAGAGTATGGATCCACATGGATGTCAGAGTCGCCCAAAGCATGGTCTGGCCCGACTGAGAGCACAAGCTTCCGCAAAACTTCCATACTGGTTGGAGCAGGGTGACGGAATATCATGTTCCCATGGCAGGTCACAGAGCCAGGCCTGCAGACAGGGTTGGGAAAAGCTCCAGCAGCTGCCAGTCCCACCACAACCCCACAGTGGCATGGGGTGGGCACACCCAGCCTCCTCCCGGAGGGCTTTGTTCAGTAGGAAGAGATCTCTGCACTTAGGGAGCCATGGGATGGAAGGGACATCCCTGAAGGTCCAGCAAGTCACCACTGATACAATGGGTTCATGCTTGACCTCAGCTTCCTCTGCAAATCCTTCTGTAGCCACAAATATGCACCTGTCAGCCTAAAGGCATGACCTGTTGGATGACATCTGAAGGGAGACATCCCCTCCCCTGTACACCCCTGTCCCAGCAGAACCCCTGCTGCTCCCACTCACAGGAATTCTTTTATGATCACTTTCAGGAGGGTTGGGTAATCACTCAGGACTCTCACCACCTGGAAGAAAAGTTATGCTCAGCTCCCCCCCAGCTTTTGGGGGTGTTTGAACATCCCAAAGCAGCCCCTCTTCCTCCCATGGTTCTTCTCACCCTGCCAGGAGAACCTTAATGCCCCTCTTCCCATCGGCCCCATTCCTACCGCATCACCAAGGTCCATGGAGAGATTGTGGTGCTCTTCAGAGAGTGGATCCTGAAGCTTCTGGCTGAAGTGTCTATTGGTGACCACAAGGGAGAGAGGGTACACGTACAGGCCAAGCTTGGACCCTGAAGGAACAACAAACAAGTGCTGGGTGTACAGATTTGGCAGCGACCCTGCCCACACCACACATGGGGACTGTCTTACCCTCCACCGAGAGGGATGTCAGGTCGATGGAGAGGTCTGAGAGCGTAGTCAGGGCTTCCAGAACCTCTGTAACATCAGCATGGACAACTGTGTCGAGGTAGAGGTCTCCAGTGACCTCTGTGCCCCCACCGAGGGTTCTGAGGGGAGAGAAGAGCTCTGAGCAAGGCAGGAGGGTTGGGAGCCAGCTCCAGCACCTTTACTGGTGGTTCTCCCCTGAGAGCCAACAGAAGGTGTTCAATTAGTTTGCTCCAGCTGCACATGCCCTCCCAGCTTTCCCCATCCTCTCCATCCTTGCAGCACAGCTAAATAGCTGCAGAGGGCACAGGAGGTGAAGGTAGTGAAATGAAGATGTTGGCAGAGGAGAAGCTGCATCCCATACCTGAGCTGGGAGATGGTGAAGTTCCTCACGTGGTAGAGGGCACTGACAGATGACATTACCTGGGCAGAGAGAAGACAACAGTTCACACCTTCCCCCATTCAGCACAGGTTATTCCACCACCCAGGCAGCCTGTGCCCATTCTCCCAGCACCACCCTTCAGAAGAGCCCCCAAGGCTTGGCATACCTCACTGACCAGCCTCTCCAGAGGATCCATCCTCCTGTTCGTGCCAAGCTGGAAGCCAGTGAGAGAGACAGACAGCTTCTCTGGGTCCAGGTTCTCCAGGCTGAAACCTAAGGGAGTTTGGAAGAGTTATGCTCATACCTGTTCCTCCAGCTTCCTTGGGAGATATTGTTCAGCCTTGAGTTCATCCATGGCCACACAGAAAAAGCAGAAACCAGCAGGGCAGCTGAGTGAGGAGGAATTCATTTGAATTTGGGAAGAAGTCAGGATGTGCCATTTCCCAGCAAAGGAGAGCTGAGGCAAAGAGAGGAGGCCAAGGAGTCGAGCAGAAGCAGTGGCCCACACAGGTCCAGCTGTACCCTCCACGACCCTTAACATCCTTACAATGGTTTCACACAGGCCAGGAGAAAGGATGTGAAGTGAAGGAAAAGCCAGGAACCCAAACTGCACAGGTTTTGTCTTTGATAGAGGCACAAGGAGGGCACTTGGTTGTGGAAGATCTTCAGGACTTACCACCAGACTGGACAGACTGAGGGTCCAGCTGCCAGCTGAAGATGCTCCTTCCCTTGCTTGCCTCTGTGAGGACTGTCCTGATGAGGTGGGAGTTGGTGGGAGCAGGAGCATCCCCCCGGAACAGAACCTCCCCTCGCACCACCACTGAGCCATTCCTGGGAGGGAGAGGAGACAGTGGGCAGCACATCTGATTTGATTTTATTTTTTTCAAGGTGCATTTATCTAGAAATTCAGACAGGGATCCCTTGAGATGATGACACCGGGGGGGAGCATAGCCTCTCAAAATGACCTGTCTGGAGCACTTGCCTGGGCAAACCCTTCCCACCAAGACAAACCTGCAGCAGCTTGGGAAAAAAAAAAAAACCAAACCAGAAACGGAGACCACTGCTGTTTCTAGCAGGATCCATCTTTATTACACACACTCTAGTATTTACATATTTCTGCTATGGGAAAGGTTAAAGAAAGTCCTGGGAATGCATAAGAGGAAAGACAAAACAGCCTACACCACCAAACATTCATTAGAGCAGAGATTCTGCCCTTATCAGCCATTCACTCAAACATCCAGCCCCCAGCAAACATTCACATGTGGTGTTTATGGCTGTAGTCATTCCTGTGGTATGCACCTTTCCCAAGAGAATGGAGAGATTTTATCAAATTTAAGTGTAACAAGTTGCTCTTCTATGAAGGACTTTGGTTAAGGCCAGGGTGGCTACTGCAGGCCACTGCTTCTGCAAAGCCCACCCAAACCCCTCCACACCAGCTGAACACTCACATGAACTCAAGGACATTGGCCTGCAGGAAGCTCTCATAGCTGGACAGCATGTGGTTTAGCTGGAAGGAAGAAGCACCTGGTTATTAATTGAGACGATTTTCCAAGCTCCTCCACGTGAAGGGGAAATGTATGAGCAGTTGGGCAATAAATAGAGGGAAGTCAGCTCAGTCTGGCTCAAGGGAGGGCAAGCTGGCATCCCAAGGGAGTACCTGGGGATGAGTTGGGATACCCAGAGCAGCCACCCACATTCCTGGGAGGGAATACCCCAGCAATAATTAGGTGTGCCATGGCCCTGCTGGCTGCCAGAGGTGAGGGGAGCTCAGTCCCACCTCAAACCAAGCTCCAGTGGAGCAGTGCCAGGGGTTTACCCACCTCCACCATGCTCAGGTGGGCAATCAGTCAACCAATGCAGCACAAAGGCTTCACACCCCAGCAGGACCTGGAGCCACCCTGCTCCCCAAAATGCCAAATCTGTCCCAACCACCTCCAGCACTCACCATCAGTCTCACATCTCCCTCTAGTTGCTGGTAGCTCTCTGAATTCCTGCTGCCCAGAGCCGGGGTATAAGCGATGCCCAGCAGCCGGAATTGCAAGGGCAGCACATGCACAGGCTGTGTGGGAAAGGGGAGGCTGGAGGGGTGGGATGCAGGGGGTTTCATCCCTGTGGAGCCAGGTTTGCCCTCTGTCATCAGCTCAGCTGGGCTGAAGGCCTCTCTGGTGGCTGCAGGGAGATGCTCCATGGCTGTGGAGGAGTGCTGGGAAATGCTGGAGCCACTGGACATGATGTGGGTGTCAAGGGTCACTCCTGTGGGCACAGCCACGGTCTGGGAGCTGAGCAGGGAGCTGGCTGCATGCCCAGCTCCAGGAGAAGTCGGCAGGCAGGACAGAGATGTCACACTAGGGGTGGTGGCAGTGTGGTGGCCAGGCTCAGAGCCATGCTCCAGAGATGGGTTTGTGGAGCAGGGAGGAGGCACAGAGCCTGGGCTGGCAGGGGTGGGCCCTGGAGATCCTGCTGGAGTGGGAACAAATCCCACTGATGCTGTCCTGGGCTTGCTGTGCCTGGATTCTTCCATCACAAACACCTGTTCAAGATCTGGGGTGGCACCAGTGGCTGTGGAGCTCATCCCAGTCACGGTGGGACCTGCAGGGCCGGGAGTCCTGAGCTGGTCTGGAGCTGGGGAGGCTCCAGGGGACATTGGCTGTGCAGGGGGAGAAGGCCACTCACTCTGCGTCCCTGAGGTGACAACAGGAGCACCAGACTCTGCTGTGGGAAGGGAAGAAGCCAGCACACGCTGACTGTGGGCACCAGGAGCTGTGGCAGTGGTAGGAAGCGATGCCAGGACTGCATCCAGGAGTCCAGACCCATTTCCTGGAACCTGGGCCAACACAGGAACAGCTTTCCCAGGCAGAGCAGTGTCCCAGAGCCCCTCAGGTGTCAAGGCAGGGGGCACCCCCATGGTGCCAGGGTGCAGCTGGGCCGAGCTGGGTGTCCCTGGTGTTGGCAGAGCAGAGGTCACCAGCTGCTCTGCCGTGCTGGGGCTCCAGGAGCCAGCATCCATCAGTGTCCATGTGGGGACATCAGGTGGGATCTGAGAGCCTGCAGCTGCCCCTTGGAGTGGCACCTGTTGGTTGGGTGACACCTGCATCACTGCAGCTGTGGGGAGGGAAGGAAGGTGCAGCCATACCTGGGAGGTGGCAGGGAGCCCAGCAGCTGGCTCACTCCAAGCTCTGGAGGTGGCCTCAGACCCCCTCTGTGGGCTCTGGGGCTCTGCTGTGCCTGCTGAAGTCACTGCTGGCATCCATGTGGCACCATGTGAGCCTGGTCCTGCTCTGTGGAGGCCTCTCTCAGTAAGGTGATGCCAGGAGCCAGGGCTGGGGACACCCTCGGTCTGGAAGAGCCGAGATGAGGTGGCAGGCACTCTCTTGCCAGGCCACTGTGCAGGGGACAGTGTCACAGCCATTGCTGGGCTCAGCCTGTGCCCTTCCCTGTCCCCAGATCCAGGTTGCCACTCCAGGGAGGTCTGAGATGTCCATGTGGCCGCAGTCCGTGTCCCCAGGCTCCGTCCCCCAGCACCTGGCCCAAGGGTCACAACTCCTTGGTCCCCTGGGAAGCAGCCCGAGGTGAGGAGGTCCCCACATGCTGTCACCAAACTGTCACCCACCCTTTGCTGGGAGGCTGAGGAGCCCGGGGGATCCCAGGTGACAGCAGCCAAAACACCCAGGCCATAGGGGACAGCAGTGGTGCACACACACACGGCCAGCAGCAGGAAGGCTCTGCACCAGAGCCTGCCGGCAGGGGCAGCAGGACTCGGGGCTGTGCCCGCAGCCCCTTCCCTCTCAGCACGGAGCATCGTTCCCGGCTGCAGGGCAGCAGCAGCGTCCGGGGGGCTCGGTGGTCCAACCCCTTGACTCATCTTGGGAGAGCTCAGCTGTGGACAGGGACAGCAGCAGATTTAGGGTGAGTCTCTGCAGCTCCCACATCCCCGTGCCTGGCCCGTTCCCAAGCTTCCCATCCCCACAGCTCCTCATTAAAACATCTTCCTTCTCCCCAGCAGCCTCCCAGCTCAGGAAAGTCTGTGCCAAGCCTTAGCATCTCCTGGGAAGCTCCCAGGGCAGCACAGGGTTGTAACCAGCCCTGGGCTCAGACATTACCTCATTCCCTGCTCCAAACACCCACCTTGTCCCCAGAAACCTCCCCAAGGAGGGCCAAGCCCACCAGCACCCCTCACCTGGCAGCACCCCTCACCTGGCAGCACCCCTCACCTGGCAGCACCCCAGAAGAGAACACCAAAGCCCAGCCAAGCCCTGGCTTTTATCTGGTTTCCCAGGTGGGGGGGGATGTGGCTCCATTGCAGCTGCTCCAAATTAACACACAAACTCATCTGCACTCCCTCAGGTGAAGCTGGAGGGGTTTCAGCTTCATTCAGCTCCTCATTGAGCCCTTGTCAGCAGGAGGGGGTGGGCTTGTCCCTCCAGGCAGGATGATCCCCAAACCTTGCTGATGCTCCCCAGAACACTCTGTCTGTGAGGTTGTGGCAGTGTTCACCTGCTGGGCTTCACTAATTGGGGCTGTAAATCGTGGATTGCAGCACTTGGCCTTTGGGATCAAGCAGATTCTGTGCCTGATGGAGGCTCACAAGGGAGAAGGTGTCAGGGGTCCCCAGTGGATCAGCCCAGGCTGCATCCCTGAGCACCCCACACTCTCCTGCCCGGTTTCTGATGCTCAGACATCCACAAGCACCCTCTTCCCAGGCTGTCACCCAGGGCGTTTGTGGAGGCTGGGATGTGCTCCTGTGATGGCATCCTGGACACTGGATCAGCCTGCAGTGATGGACAGAGGGGCTGGGGACAGCACTTGTGGCTGGGGACAGCACTTGTGGCTTGTTGCAGGGAAAAGTGGGCAAGTGCATCAGGTGGGGAATTTGGGGACCCTCCCACCCCAGGAAGGTCCCGTTGTGCCCACGCTGGAAAGCAGAGACAGAAGCAAGGCATGTCTGGAAACAAGCCAAACTCTTTAAAACCAAGAGAGGCAACTCTTCATATTCTTACAAAAAAATTAAATAAAGGGAAGGAACTTTCTTCCCCAGAACCTTATACATGTATAAAAACAACAACATTATTTACAAACACTGCTTTCCAAATCACTGTGCACAGGCATGGAGTGGTGAGGGCGAATGGAGAGAACAGCAGCATCCCCCTTACCCATCCCACCCACAGCCACCCCATCCCCACAGAAAACCAAGAAGGCACCCACAGAAATCTCCCAGTAGCAAACACACCTTTTGGCTAAAATAAGTACAGTTTGGGTAGGGTCATTTCTCCCCTGCGCCCACCTCTCTGTTTTCTTGGTTTAAAATAAATATTCCCTGTAGTGAAATAAAAATTGTGAATATCCCTTGGTTTGTTCCTCCATGCCCTTGCAGCAGTTTGAAGAACACCTGAGCAATGAGTTTTCTGAGTTTTTAAGGCCTCTGCTGTGTACCCTGCTGCAGCCCCCCAGGGTGAGGGGATGTCCCTAAGTCCTGGGATGCCCACATCCCCCCTAGGATGCCTGTAACCCTTTGGGATGAAAGGATTCATCCTTCCAAGGTCTGGCAGCATCACTCCCCTCTCTGCCCCTTTAGTCTCCACCAAGGTGGTCCCTAAATGTGCATCTTTTGGGACAGGATCTGGGAGGTAAAGTGATTTGGTTTTCTTTTCTTTAAGAGTCTTAAATTGCAGCCTTTTAGTTTAAATAAAACGACACATATTAAGTTATTGTATTTAAAGAAAAAAAAAAACCAAAACACATGACCTGAAGGCAGCAGCTCCTTATAAAGGTAAATCCAGAACATTTGTAAAATGTCTTCATTTATAACTTAAAAAAAACCCCTTAGTCCTGGGACTATGGAAGTCACGATTCGCTTGCCCTTGCTGTCATGCCAGGTCTTTGTGGCACTTTAAAGGTAAAAATCCCAGAGGGATGTTTATTGGGAATGGTGTGGATAAAGCAGGAGGGGGGATTCAGAGGAGAGAGGAGGAGGTGGGATGTGATCCCTGCAGTCCCTTTTTCCAAGGCTGGGGACGGTGCTGTGGCCATTTCCATGCTCCTCTTGCTCCAGCTCCACTGGAACTCCAGCCATTCCCTCTCAGCACAGCAGGGCAGTCACAGATGGAGGCAGGAGATGCACTAAAAGATGATCCGTTCAAAGAAAAGCAGCTCCAGCTGCCATAAGGGGCTCACAACCAACCAGCATCCCTGTGTGTGTCCCTGGAGCATTGCTGAGCTGTTCTCCACCCTGAGCAGCATCCCCACAGGGTCCCTGGCAAGGTATCAACAACATCCTGGAGGATCCTGATGCTGGTGGGAGCTGAGCACCTGCCTGCAGGGCTGCTGGTGGTCTCGGCATGCACAGCTCTGGGGACTCGGGACCTTCCCTTTCCTGTCATCATTTGGCTGCTGCCCTTGGCACATTCCTCAGTGCCTCCTTTCCCTTGATGGGTCCGTGGCTGTTGCTTTGCCATCAGCTTTCAGTGCCTCCATGCCAGGGCTACCTGGGAAAGGAAGGAGTGGTTAGTCAGGGAGGGCACACCTCCACATCCCAAATATTCCCTGCTCCAGCCTGGCCCAGGAAGTGGAGCCTACTCAGCCAGCTCCAGCTGCTCATCACCACATGAAATCCACACACTTACACCTCCACAAAATGACCAACTAATCCCATCAATTCCTAGAAACCCACGTGGAAGACGAGTTACCTACTTGGGAGGCTGCTGGCCAGACTCTGAGCTTGAACCTGGAAGAAATGAAGTTGCTGGTAATGGCCGTGAGCAGCAACAAAAGGTTATGTGGACAGAGCAGTGAAGTCACCAGCTGGAGGGGACAGCCATGGCTGTGGCAGGTGTGACACAGCACCCTGGGATGGGCAGAGGTGGCCTGGAACTGACTGAAACCTCCCTGATACCCCCAGGATGAGTTTTCTCCCTTGCAGCTCCAACTTTTGCCCTCTGCAGCTCAGAGAGGAAAAGCTGGGCAGAACCCTCAGTAGGAAAGGGACGCTGAGACACCTCTGGATCCTCCCCAACTATTACAGTGGAGTCATTGGTTGGAGACAGAGACTACATTACTGTCAGAGATCTTTGTGACAAAAATCCTCATTTATTGTTTAGTGCCTCCTTTTATAGGGGCTTCACATCTCCTGCACTTACACGTGATTAGGTGAAGTCATAACACAGCCCAGCTCCATCTGCATTTAGGGCTGAATGAGATTGGCTGAGGGTCCCTGTGTAGCTTTGAATTCAACCTCTTCTTATTTACCCAGGAACCTGTTTATTGAACCAGACTAGCTGAACTGGGTTTCTTATTTATGGCTAAATTATTTGCCCAGCTACAGACTAGCTGTGCTGTGACAAATCCCCCTTTTTGTTTTATTAAAAATGTAAATTGTTTTTTGTTTTCCTTTGCAGGTGCCTTGCAGACAAAGACAATATGATGACATTGATAAGAAATTTAGTTTGAATAAAACTTTGCACTTAACTTGACAAGCCTGGTTTTTCTCAGCCAGTGATGTATCTTTTGTAACACTGGAGTTTCAGGAGCAAGTTTTTAAGATGGCACGCTGCAGGCTCATTACTTAGAAGTTAAAATTTTCCAACTTAACACTACGAACAATAAACAATCTTAAAACTCTTTCAAAAAACACACGTGTTTCTACCACTGATGTCTTCCAAATATTCGAGTCTTGGAGTTTGAGTAGAGTGATGGGCAGATTGTCTTACCATTGACAATCTTCTGCTTCCCACAAGCTGTCAGCTTGCTAGTTTATGTTGTGAATTGACTGAAAAACATGAGAATGTGACAGCACCTAAGACTTTTGAGGGGGGTGTACATCCACCCCACACTTCTCCCCCTTTCTTTTTTTTAACAGCTAGAACAGGAACAAAACATGGAATTCTGAACAAGATTAATAAGGTGAAACCTAAACTGCTTCTGTGCTTTACTGTCTAGGGTGTGCTAAGGAGCTAAGTTCATACAGGGGGCCTCAGCCAACCCCTCTGAACCATGGATGCACTCCTATCATTGTCCAGTGAGCTGGGCAGAGTTAAGACCTTTAGCCAATCACATAAACGAGTGGGGGATTTGAAACCCCTATAAAAATACCTCCCAGACAATAAACCACGGCCCTTGCTGTGTGGCCACTGTGTGTACTTGTCACATTCCTGTCTCCAAAACCCAGGTGACAATTGGTGCACCGTGTGAGGACACGCTGCTGTGGTATTGCAGGGAGAGAGGGGGCAGTGGAGAGAGCTGCAGGCCCTAGGGAAAGCTGTGGGCAGCAGAGACTTTGTCTTAGGTTGTAATGCAAGATGTAAGCAGCAGTGTGTATTCCATCACCAGCTGTTAAAAGCAGGTGGGGCAGTGTTCTTTATCTCTTCCATGAGCCACCCTTTGTCCAGACAGGTATGTTCTGTTAATGGGCCAACTGTTAAAAAACCAGGTGGGGCAGTGTTCCCTATCTCTTCCACAACCCACCCTTCCTCCAGGGAGATATCTTCTGTTAATGGGCCATTGAGTGCCACTGCATGACTGATAAAATTCCAGCATCCCATTGGGAGATGCCCCACCCTGGGGGAGGAGCCAAGCCTTTCCTACCTAGATAAAATCTGAGATTTGGAACACCACAGTCAGCCTTTTCGTCTGGATTCCCAGAGGATGACCAGACCCTTCTATGCCCGCACTGGACCTTCAGAGGAAAACTACACCTTTCTACAGGATCACTGCTTCAACAGAACCACATCTGTCACTCCAGGAGGATGCAGCCACCGTTTAATGGGACTGCTACCAACACCTTGATCAACAGGGTGTCATGTATTCTGACACTGTCAGTGTTTTGTACTACTGCATTTTAATTTTCCTATTAAAGAACTGTTATTCCTATTCTCACATCTTTGCCTGAGAGCCCCTTGATTTGAAATCTATAATAATTCCGAGGGAGGAGGTCTACATTTTCCATTCCAAGGGAGGCTCCTGTCCTCCATAAGCAGACACTTGTGTTTCAAACGAAGACAGAGCTGCGGGGGGAAGAGAAAGCTGCAGGCAGAGAACACTGCGGGCAGTGGAGAAAGCCATGGGCAGCAGGGACAGCTGGGCTACCTGGGAAAGGAAGGAGTGGTTAGT